TTTTGTTTTTTGCTTTTTGCTTTTTGAGATGACCAAACGCCGCTGTGATGAGGCGAACATTATTGTTCTAACGCCAATGCTGAACAAATAATGATCTAGCGATTAAATTAAATAATAATAATTTTTACATTTTAACCAAAACATTCTATTTCTACATTTACATAGCAAATGAGTGAACATACGAGAAAACTCCATATTGTTGACTTATTTTATATCATTTTTAACACAGTACTCTTTTTATCTTCAGAAATTTCAAAAACAGTGTCCACATAATTCGTAAATCTTTTAATCGATTATTGTCAAAGTATGAACACACATTTCGTTTTTGTTTCTAGTATATAACTAAATAGATAATAAATCGAGCCAAATCTTACATAAACCTCATACAATCTCAGTACAAAGAAAATTTCCAACCAAAATGTCGCTGATGCCACTCTGAAGTAATGACTCAACATTACTAATTCTCCATACAATTTAGTGATCATCAAAAACAAATGTTTTACCCGAGTAAACTGCACGCGCTTATCAGTCCATAGTGTCCGCAAAAATAAAGATGACTATCTATAAAGGCTGAATCTTGGTTAAGAGTTTGAAAAATAAGCAAAAATGACCTACCTCCCAAATATCATTAATTGTCAGGGCTAATTAAACGATCGTTTGTCACGAGTAAACGATTTTTAATTGCAAAAGGGAAATAAAAGAGCGAACCCGTAAAAAGTTCACATTACTTGGAAATTTCCCGGACCAAATCATTCTATCTTTAATAAGATCAAAAAATGGTTACTGTCGTATACGGTTAATTGAGATATATGGAACTGTCTCAGTTTTGGCGGTTCTACGTTTGCCCGCTTCTTTTTTACTAAAATCGTTTGTTCAGAACTCTCACAAAGGTTCTGTCAACCCGAGTGCCATCTATGCTATCGCAAACACCTGGTCGTCTTCGTCTTTGACGACCCGGTTCGTCACAAACTTCTTGACGACCAAATCGACGGCCTCTGGTCGCGGGCAGGCTGTTGTGTGTCCCTTGTCTGATCGTGGGTAAAGCTATTGCTACTGAGGGCCGCTGGATTAACGGAATAATGCCATTGTACGCGGCTCCTATCGCAGTTGATCGGTGTTGCATCTGGTACTTCACTTTCTTGAGGTTAGGCTTGCCGAATAAAAGTACAGCTATGCCACCTTCATTCTGAACATTTGTCGAAGCGTTTGTGCAACAAGAGGCCATATGAAGGTTTTTTTCTTGACATTGAAGGTGTAGAGATGTACTTTTCCCTTCTTTTCTTGCGTTTGCTGCCGCCGCTGGAACGGAACAAACACTGAAATTTTGCTTCTTGTTTGGTATTGATTTTTCTCTTGTCGTTGTCGTTCTTGTTTTGCTGTCTTCAACTTCAGAAAAAACTCTTGAACTAAACAACGTGGCTCGCTTCTTCTGATGAAACTCACACAGCTCCAGCAGTGATGGAGGATGGCTGCTTGCTCTCATCTTTAATTGCCTCGACGTTCGACGTGAAGATTATGAGTTCAACTTGCAGTGAAACAATAAATTTCTTGAGATTATTTCATTGACGTCATAGGTTGTAAGATGACATGTTATCGCATACCAGACAAAAGAAGCACTTCAAATTCTCAGTCTGCACTTTGTACCCACTCTGCAGTCTACATTTTTACCTGGTCTACATTTTGTAACCGGTCTGCACTCTGTATTCTGCAGTCTGTATACCTGTGTGTGGGTTAATTCGACATTTTCGTTCTTTTCCGCGTTAGTACTCTTTCCTTTGCAGAAATGTAGACATCACTAACTCTTGCATGCTTTAACATGCCTATGTTCGATGTAGGGCGTGATACAGAGTCACAAAAAGCTTTGAAATTTTTAAAAAGTGTATGTTACAAACTTTTTATCTCGTTCATTAGTGGCCCGAGGAGATCATGTAGCAACAAACGAATATATCTCGTAAGGCACGTAAATCAGTAAACAAAATCAATTAATTACATTTGGTGGAAAAAAGTTCTGTTCATGACATATTCAGATTCCACCACAGTTGTATCAACGTTTTCTTGATATGCCATTTCCTTGGTTTTCCTCTTGTTTGCCCGATCTTTAATGGAGAAAAAAGTGATGGTTTTACTCTTGAGAAGTAAACATTAAAGATGAAGAAGGGTCAACCGCCCTCAAGGACTATATGCAACTTTGTCTAGGACACAAGTATTCTTCAGCATTTCGATTTTCATTTTGAGGTCTATCTCGATCAGAAT